AGTGGCACAAGTACAGTGGCCTGATCCTAGCTCACTGCAGCCTCCGCCTCCTGGGTTCACAGGATTCCTGCTCCTCAGCTTCCCAAGTAGCTGGGGTTACCAGCGCCCATCACTATACTGGCTAATTTTTGTGTTTTTAGTAGAGACAGAGTTTCACCATGTTGGCCAGGCTGGTCTTGAACTCCTGACCTGAAGGGATCTTCCCGCCTCAGCCTCCCAAAGTGCTGGGATGACAGGCGTGAGCTACTGTGGCCGGCCTAGTAGTAGTGTTTGATTTGATGTCATAGGTGTCTGCACGTGGATGTTGAGAGTCGCTGTCCACTGAGCTTCAGTCAGGTTGTGCAGTTTGTACTCACTGTTCTTCCCATCTCTACTGCTGGCTGGTGGCCGTGTGGGCCCCACAGCTGCGCTCAGCTCAGAGCCAGCGTTGTGTGAGGAGCCCAGCGGGGATGGCAGAGCTGCTTGGTGTCTAAGCACCTTGCCCTGTTTGTGTCCACATGGTTCTGCACGTGAGAACCCCTGGGTTGTAAGCTGTTAGGCTGCTGTGAGAGGGTGGGTGGTCCTGGGAACACGCCTCTGCATGGGACAGGCTGCTCATGAGCAGCGAGGAGGACTCAGGAGGTGGTGGCTGGGAGTCTAGGGTGGCTTGCAGATCCTGGTGGAACCTTGTGCCAGGCCAGTCTCTTGTCCTCAGAGGTGGCAGCTGTGCACACACACCATTTAGAAGTAGTGTATGTGTAGAGGGAGCCAAGTTCAGTAGGCTCTCAGATACATGACAGGTGATCAGCTGTAGTATGTATTTGTTTGTTTATTTAGAGCAGGAGTGAATGTTTGTTAAAAAGCTTTCTTGAGCAGGAAGGAAAAGTGGTCAAGTGCACTTGGAAGAGGGCCAGGCCAAGCGGGTGACTTGAGAGATCAGGTGCCAGTTTTCTTTTAAAATGTAGTGATTGACAGGTGTTTGAACTTGGAAAGTTTAACACCAGCAGTGAATGCCACGAAATATGATGTGTTTCAGATCTTTGGTCTAAGTATACTTTAGTTATTTATTTATTTTGAAAGGGAGTCCCACTCTTTCGCCCGGGGTTGGAGTGCAATGGTGGGGTCTTGACTCACTGCAGCCTCTGCCTCTCCAGTCCAAGAGAGCCTCCTGCCTCAGCCTCCTGAGTAGCTGGGATTACAGCTGTGTGCCAGTACCCCTGGCTGATTTTTGTATTTTTAGTAGAAATGGAGTTTCACCACGTTGACTAGGCTGGTCTTGAACTCCTGACCTCAGGTGATCTTCTTGCCTCAGCCTCCCAAAGTGCCGGGATGACAGACGTGAGCCATCGTGCCCGGCCTAGGTGGATTTTAAACAGCCCTTTTGGTCTTGGCCACGTTTTGGTGTGGATACACTCATGTCCTGAACTGTTGCTGCATATTGTGGATCCTGTGACCACCGCCACCGCCGTTGTCTTCCTCCTCCTCCTCCTCCTTTCTTCTTCTTCCTTTCTTCTCCTCCTCCTCCTCTTCTCCTTCCTTTCCTTCTTCTTCCTTCTTCTTCCTTCCTCTTCCTTCCTTCTTCTTCTTCTTTCTTCTTCTTCCTTCTTCTTCCTCCTTCCTCCTTCTTCCTTCTTCCTTCTTCTTCCTTCTTCTTCCTCCTTCCTCCTTCTTCTTCCTTCTTCCTTCTTTCTTCTTCCTTCTTCTTCTTCCTTCTTCCTTTCTTTCTTCTTCTTTCTTCCTTTCTTTCCTGCCTTCCTTCCTTCCTTTCCTTCCTTCTCCTCCTCCTCTTCCTCCTCCTCCTTCTTCCCCTTCCTTCCTTCCTTCCTTCCTGCCTGCCTGCCTGCCTGCCTGCCTGCTTTCTTCTTCCCTCTTCTTCTTCCTTCCTCTTTCCTCCTTCCTCCTTCTTTCTTCTTCTTTCTTCTTTTGAGACAGAGTATCAGTCTGTCACCCAGGCTGGAGTACCATGGCGCAACCTCTGCCTCCTGAGTTCAAGCGATTCTCCTGCCTCAGCCTCTCGAGTAGCTGGGGCTACAGGCGGGTGCCAACACGCCCGGGTAATTTCCTTGTATTTGTAGTAGAGACAGGGTTTTACCCTGTTAGCCAAGATGGTCATCTCCTGACTTCGTGATCTGCATGCCTCAGCCTCCCAGAGTGCTGGGATCACAGACCTGAGCCACCGTGCCTGGCCCTTCTTGTTTTTGTTTTTGTTTTTTTCTTTTTCTTTTCTTCTTTTTTTTGGGGGTGTTGGGGAGACAGTCTCGCACAGGCTGGAGTACAGTGGTGCAATCTTGGCTCACTGCAACCTCTGCCTCCTGGTTCAAGCGATTCTCCTGCCTCAGCCTCCCAAGTACCTTGGACTTCAGGCATGCTCCACCACACCAGGCTAATTTTTGTATTTTTTGTAGAGATGGGGTTTCACCATGTTAGCCAGGATGGTCTCCATCACCTGATCTTGTGATCCACCCATCTCAGCCACCCAAAGTGCTGGGATTACAGGTGTGAGCCACCGCACCCAGCTGCCCGTCTTCTTTTTCAGGGGAAGAGGCCTCACTATGTTGCATAGGCTGACTCTGAGCTCCTGGGCTCAAGCGATTCCATACCTGGCTTTGTGATGCGGCTTGAAGCATTTTGGTGTCTTGTTTTACCAATTCTTTTTCTTTTTCCTTTGTTTCCTTTGGTTTCGATATCAGTGGTCTGTTTCTCTCTTGATCTTAGTTGATTCAGTTAATAATTTGTAAGGATGTAAAATAAAATAGATCTTTATACACAAAAAGATCAGTGTCCTAAATATATTATTTACAGACCAGGTCAGGCACAGTGGTTCACATGTAATTTCAGCACTTGGGGAGGCTGAGGCGGGTGGATCACTTGAGCCCAGGAGTTTGAGACCAGCCTGGGAAACAGAACCGGACACGGTGGTGTGTGCCTCTAGTCCCAGCTACTCAGGAACTGATGCAGGAGGGTCCCTTGAGCTTGGGAGCTTGCGCCTGCAGCGGGTCAGTGATTGTGCCACTGCACTCTAGCCCGGGTCACAGGGGTCTTTGTTGCCCAGGCTGGTCTCGAATTCGGGGACTCAAGCAGTCTCCCTCCTGAGCCTCCCAAAGTGCTAGGATGTGAGCCGCTCTGCCCAGCCTTCACACATTTTCTTCTGGTGGGAGGTGAACAAGAAAAGAAGGTAGCTTATTTTTTTTCAGTGTCTAAAGAGCGGCTTTGACAGAGAAGCTTTTTCAGCTTTCTTGGTGGGTATGTTTTGAAGGCCAGAACTGCTGGCCCTGGTGGATGGACTCCCATATTTCTGGCCTGAGCACCTGAGGGCTGCCTGTTACTGCTGAGGAGAGTCTTGGGAGAGAAGCTTGGGCTGGGAGTCTTGTTTGAGTTCCCCCAGTGAGGTGGGAATTTTGGAGCCATTTGGGTATGTGTAGAGTTCAGGGTTAGCCAGCAGGGAGCGTCAAGGGAGAAGCTGGAGTCGAGGCCTGGAGCATTGCACACGGCGCGGTAAGGAGCGGGGCTCCAGTAGGGGATTGAAGAGGAGCACTGCGAAGCAGGAACCCAGAGTGTGGTGCCCTGGACACCCAGGAGGCAGTTGTTCTGTGAGGTTCTGCTCTGTCCACCAAGACGGCGGGGAGGACTGGTCGTCCTGCGTGTGCCTCACGGGAACGAGAAGGGCGAGGGAGCCAGCACCAGCGAGGCAAACAGCGAGTGTTGAAGCCTTTGGTGTTGCCCTTCCTGACCCCAGCAAGAGTGTTGGGCAGCGTCTCCTTGGAGATATCCCTGCAGTGGGAGGGCCATGGTGTAGCCTCTGCCCACCACAGGCTGGACCCTTCTCGGGCAGCTGCCCAGTAGGTTGGGTGGTGGTCGGCGCCTTCCTCTGTGGCAGGGGTTCCCGCACCGGGTGCACAGATATGAGCTGGGCTGAGTGTGGCCGGCCGCTTGTTTGACAAATAGGCTGCTGTTTAACTGGGTTCATGGTGAGACTCAGGCTATGGACTGTTTTTAAATTTTATTCTTGGGAGGTATTTGGCTTGCGTGACCTTTGTTTGATTATGTGTTACTTGAGCCAAGTTAAGGAAGCTGCGTGAAGCATGAACCAGAGTTTTAGACTGCAGACCGTCTCCCTGTAGCTTAACGTCTCTGGCTCTCTGCTTGCCAGAGCCAGCAGGGAAAAGGGTGATAGGATTTTTATTTAAGCAAAAGGAATTATTTTCCTTCCTTGAGTAAGAAAACTGCCACAAAGTTACTGCTTTGTGGCCCGGATACATTTGTATGTTTATTTTGAAAGCGAAATACTCACTAGGTAGTATTTGAATTTTAAGTCTGCTGTGAGACCTAAAGCATATTTGTGCACTTATTTTGTTTTTGATTATTTATTTATTTTGAGATGGAGGCTGGCTGTGTCACCCGGGCTGGAGTGCAGTAACGTACTCGTGGCTCACCGCAACCTCCGCCTGCCAGGTTAGAGTGATTCTCCTGCTTCAGCTCCCTGAGTAGCTGGGACTGCAGGCGAGCGGCACCACGCCTGGCTAATTTTTGTATTTACAGTAGTGACGGGGTTTCACCATGTTGGTTAGGCTGGTCTCGAACTTCTGACCTTGTGATCCGCCTGCCTTGGCCTCTCAAAGTGCTGGGATTGCAGGTATGAGCCACCCAGCCTCGTGCACTTATTTTAAAAGGAGTCAGGTAGATTAAGTAGTATTTGAGTCTTTTTGAGACTATGCCCTTTTTTTTTTTTTTTAATCAGAGGAGACAGGGCCTCTTGCCCAGACTTAAGTGCAGTGGCGCCATCACAGCTCACTGCAGCCTCGACCTCCCGGGCTCAAACAGTCCTGCTGCCTCAGCCTCCTGAGAGTCTGGGACCACCGGCATGCACCACCATGCCTGGCTAATTTTTTTGTAGAGTTGGAGTCTTGCTGTGTTGCCCAGGCTGGTCTTGACCTCCTGGACCCAAGTGAGCTCCGTGCCTCAGCCTCCCAAAGTGCTGGGATTACAGGCATGAGCTACGATACCTGGCCTAGTCTGTGTTTTTAATTTTCCTGTCTGGCTGGTCTGAATAGTGTCCTTACTGGTGTTTTAAAGTCATGAAACACCTTAGTTGTGAGTTTTGTTTGTAAATGACTTGAAATAACACAGTGAGCTGAGCTTGGAAGTGTTGTGTACACATCCTCAGCTGCTCCAGCGTTGTGGGAGATACTTGGGGACTCTGCTCCTGCTCTTGCAGGGACAGCAAAAGGGTGCTGATTGTGGGCTTTTTTTTTTTCCAGGTGTACATTCAGGTTCCCGAGCACAAACATCAAGATAACGTTCACTGCCCTGTCCAGCGAGAAGAGGGAGAAGCAGGAGGCGTCAGAGTCTCCGGTGAAGGCCGTGCAGCCGCACATCTCACCCCTGACCATCAACATTCCAGACACCATGGCCCATCTCATCAGCCCTCTGCCCTCCCCTACAGGAACCATCAGGTGCGGCAGTGGGGATGGGGGCACTGGAGCGTCCTCAGTCGCAGCGGCAGACCCAGAGCGACGCCTTTCCCTGTCCCTGGCGCTAACTTACGTGGGAAGAGATGCGAAGTGGTGCCTAAAATACCGTTGATTTCTGCCCCGAGTTTCCTGCATTCTGAAATGTGGCTCCCAAGTGATCCTGGTTTTTAGTTACTCATTTTTGTTTTGAGACAGAGCCTCACTCTGCTGCCCAGGCTGGAGTGCAGCGATGTGGTCTTGGCTCCCTGCAGCCTCTGTCCCAGGTTCAGGCAGTTCTCCTGCCTCAGCCACCCTAGTACCTGGGATTACAGGTGCCCGACACCACTCCCGGCTGATTTTTGAATTTTAATAGAGATGGGGTTTTACCATGTTGGTAAGGCTGGTCTTGAACTCCTGACCTCAAGTGATCTGCCTGCCTTGGCCTCCCAAAGTGCTGGGATTGCAGGCGTAGGCCATTGTGCTGGTCTCTACTCATTCTTTAAAAGATTTGTGTTTTTTTTAAATCATACTTTAGGTTCTGGGGTACATGTGCAGTTCATGCAGGATTACTGCATAGGTACATATATGGCAAGGTGGTTTGCTGCCTCCATCCCCCTATCACCTATATCTGGCATTTCTCCCCATGTTATCCCTCCCCATTCCCCATTGTCCTTCCCATAGCCCCTCCCCCAACAGACCCCAGTGTGTGATGCACCCCTCCCTGTGTCCATGTGTTCTCATTGTTCAACACCCGCCTTTGAGTGAGAACATTCAGTGTTTGATTTTCTGTTCTTGTGTCAGTTTGCTGAGAATGATGGATTCATCTGTGTCTCTACAAAGGACACGAACTCGTTTTTTATGGCTGCATAGTATTTCATGGTGTGTATGTGCCACATTTTCTTTGTCCAGTCTGTCATTGATGGGCATTTGGGCTGGTTCCAGGTCTTTGCTGTTGTAAACAGTGCCACAGTGAACATACGTGTGCGTGTGTCTTTATAATAGAACGATTTATAATCCTTTGGGTATATACCCAGTAATGGGACTGCTGGGTCAAATGGAATTTCTATTTCTAGATCCTTGGGGAATTGCCACACTGTCTACAACAATGGTAGAACTAATTTACACTCCCACCAACAGTGTAAAAGTATTTGTTTCTCCACATCCTCTCCAGCGTTTGTTGTTGCCTGATTTTATAATGATCGCTATTCTTTTTTTTCCTTTTTATTTTCACCACTATACTAACGAGGATAATGATCGCCATTCTTACTGGCATGAGATGGTATCTCAATGTGGTTTTGATTTGCATTTCTCTAATGACCAGTGATGATGAGCATTTTTTTTTTTTTTTTTTTTTG